TTTCTTACCCAAAATTAAATAGTAAAGGTTAATTAAAAGAGCATAGAACCGCCCCTATGAGGTAAGGACTCATGCTATTGATAAAATAAAGTGTTTTTTCTTGAGGGACAGTGTAGAAAATGAACATTCCTATCTACACTAATAAAATACTATCTACACTGTGAACATTATTTATACAAAGTAAAGCTGCCGTAGGCGATGTTAGCAATGATAAGGTAAGAAAGTCTAATTCGTCTATATTTGTCAGTGTTATTATAAAATTTTCTTATCAGAACCTATGCTCAATGGAAAATTAGATATAAACACACCCAAATGACATTTTACATTACAAAAGGCGCCCAAACGGATATTTAATAATTATAAACACAAAATTTACACACCATCACATAATACAACAACACACAACACCATTACTTACATTACATTACTAATAACAAAACAATAATAAACAACAATATTATAATAGTATGTGTCATACGTACTGCATTAATATTTTTTTAATTTAATTAGTGTTATTTTCCCTTCATTTGGATACGTCGTACCATGCTGCATTGAAAAAATATAAGTATCAAAAAAGCATATTATTTGTAAAAATGTTACAACTAATCTAATAACTGTATAGATTTTAATTTGTCTTTAAAAATTCTATGTAGGTTCCCTGTTTCTAAGTAAAGTTACATTTTAGCTCTTTTTTAAGATTTTTTAAAATTTGATTTTTTTATTCCTGCATATGGCCTATTTTGATATTGATTTACTTCAAAAGCAACACGCAGCCATTTTCCTGTTTTGAAATTTACTAGATTAACAGTTACAATATATCTAATAATATAAAAAATGACGCAGAACAAATCACAAAACGGAGGAAGAATATATTTCAGCAAATCCCATTGCAAACATAAAATTTATTCAACCGTAATGGCACCAACATTTTTTATCCAACAAAATCCCCATTTAACTTTGACGCAGAACCCATCTACCTATCGGATACTAATTCATGCGTATACGGAATATATATATTTTTTCACATATATCATTTTTAATAAATCACTATAGTATCTCTTTCCGTTCTGTGTGTATCGTACACTAAAATAACTCCATACATCAAAAGCGTTTTCTCTTTCATCCCATCATCGGTCGTCTTGCCGCATCAGTTGAGGGGAAGTGACGGATTATTTTTTTGAGCACATGGGAGTCATGTTATTTTCCTGCAATACACAGAGGGAAACGTTCACAGAAATTTTTACAACATTATTTTAAAATTATATGTCATTATGCTCTGTTTTGGAAAATATAAAAAAATGTAGTAATACGACGATTGGTAGCTTTACAACTACATATGAAACCCCTCACTAAACCCTTAAACTAACTAAAAGACGTGTTTTTCTTTGAGTTACAGACATCACGCTGTATGAAAGTTCATCAGATGAAAAGAGCCATTTTCCACTGCTCTCTAGTAAATTACCATCCATTTTACGTTTTTAATACAGAAGTTCATTTCATGTGGCGAACCCGGCCAGATATCTTCATATATCAAAAAGGACTTTGTGCGGACGACTTTTTTAACGAATATCCCGATGATTAGAAAAAGCATTAGGGAACGACAGAAGTGCTATTTATGGGTTCGCAACCCTATATTTTTAAAAGCTTATAAATCATATCACATGCCCGACCGCTGCGGACGGTGGCAAGAATCAACTCCCCATTATTCAGAGTGGAGGATATGTGCTTTTGTAAAATTAAAGGCCTTCGCTTAAGCATATGAAAAATTGCGAATTAGCAGCCAGTTCGTATGGGGATTTATTAATGGTAATCCGAACGGGAATTCTGGATATTATAAATGGTCCCTATTTTAAGCGACGGAAAAAATGTATAAAAGTGTATAATGTTGAGGAACAAAATGTTTTCTGCAGTGTGCAAATTGTTTTGGAATCCACATTCGAATGATGTACTTGTTGAACCAATTACGGTGATTCAGTTGCAATTTTTTTAAAAGAATTGTTCAGAAAATCAACAAAATAGGTTTAATTTGGCATAAGGGTTGATAACTTTTGTTGCTATACAGTCTTAAATACTATGAATACTATACGATAACATTGCTACTTCGAGAATTATCAGAGGTTAAATTCCTAATTTGGTATGTAGTTGAGATTGTTTGAAAAACACAAAATTTTCGATTTCATCGTTTCCCTTGTTTATTAGAAAAGTTATATGAAAATATAACACCCTTTTAAGGCATATTTACTCATCTATCCGAATATGGAGTAAGATATCTGCAATCCAATAATTTGTTGTTCAGCAACTATCATCAGTTTATTTTTGTTACTGCAAGCCTATTTAGTCCAGTTACTCAGGGTTTTTAACTCCGAATTCTTTATAACTGAACCGATTGACGTGAAATTTTGACTGAATGTGAGGAATGCCTCAAGGAACAAAACTTATATAGTGCCGAAGTGTGCTTTTGCCCTGGGGGTGGTTCCCACCCCTTCTTGGAGGTGGAAATTTTACGCCCAAAATAACCACAGGAATCGATAGAGGAGTCAATTTTAAGTAACAAATGTTATATAAAGTTTTTTGGATAATCCAATACTTTCCGAGTAATTCGTCATTGAAAATGTTGATTTTTTACTGAAAAGTGCTTGTTTTCGGACAGTTTTTTGCAAATAACTCTGAAATCATTGGATTTAACGAAAAAGTTATAATAAACAAAAAGAAAGGTAATAAAAAAACAAATCTAATGGCATTATTTTGTTCTCTAATTGCAATATAAACCGAGTTATGAATTTTTAAACATTATTATATTTTAACTAAATTGGAACCAGTTAACGTTAAATAACGTCAAAACCATAAATATTAGGAAAAAAACTATTTGCACCTTTTTTAAAGTAATTTGAAAAACCTTTAAAATGAGCTGCTTTAAAAGTCTTTAGAATCAAAATTAACGGAAATATGATCGAAATAACATGATAGTCTCATTTTTTTTTAAGAAAAAATTAATAAATAAATCAGTGCCTTTGGCGACAGAATTAAAATTAAATGGAATCCATTTACAGATTTCTTCATTTATGTTTGAAGAATATGTTCTGGTTCTTTGGCTCACTTACAAAGCAGATTTCGAAAAAAAACTTAATTTTTGAAAATGTAAATTTTTAAAAATTTTGAAAAAAAATCGATTTTTACGCTGTAACCTAAAAATTAAAAGGTGTATGAAAAAATACAAGAGTAAAAAAATTTAGCTTTATTTTTGCTGAAGATTTTGCTTATTTTTATTATTCCTATAAAATTAATATTAATCGTAATATCGCCATTTTAAGTTATCATATGAATGAGAGAACCACTCTTTTCGAGCCCTTTAAACCCTTCAAACTTAAAAATGAAGGGCTTAAAAAAGATCAACTCAACAGTTCACGTAGCCCTTACAATTCCCTGCAAAATGAGCCTTTGTGCGATTAAAAATCTTAAAAAGTAAGAAAGTTATCGTCAAAAAAATAAACACGTGTATAGGTGATAATTTTAGGAAAATTTAGGTCAAACAAGAATTTTGAAGCATTTAGATCTTTTTTGTATATGTACGTATTTAGTATGTGTATATTTGAATAAACCAGTACTATACTATATTATAACTACTATATTATAATAAGGGAATACATGTTTATTTAATACGAATGCACATTTAAAATGTTTCTACTCTCTCAATAATATTTTTTCATTTTATTTTCGAAAGAAGGGGTATTTTTCAAGAGTTGAAAAGTTGCAATCGATAAAAAAGATTTTTTAATCAAGAAATCAATTTTAATTTGATAAAAATGCATGATTAAAACGTTTCAAGTTGAAATTTTTTTTTATTATTTTCATCCAAAGGGGTGGTTTTAAAAAGGTTTGTTCGGGTTGAAAATTTGGGATACATTAATTTCATGTTAGATAGCACATGAAATTACTCATACTGCACAAATAAAAAAGATTTGATTACATAAAATGCTTAAATTTGTATTTTTTCTTTTTTTTTCCAATAAGGGGTGGTTTTCACCCCTTAAGAATAAAAAGCACACCTAGCGCATATATAAGTTTGAAGTGGGGGGTAAGATGAGCCTAATTCTAAATTTTGAAAAAAATCGATGCAGTTATAAAAAATTCGGAGGTATTACTATATTTTCAGCTACAGTAACTGGGCTAATTAATGTTTTCATGACATTGTGGATACTCCTTATTTTTCTTCCAATCTAATCAGATTCTAATCTGTCGATTTTTACATTACTTTTAAGTTTTCATAAATCTCCAAACTATGAAACATCCTCAGACAAAATTTTTGCGATACTGCTGTTAAAATTTTTTCTTTTGGAATTATATTTTATGGAACCTTCTTCAGTTGTCAAAATATAAAAAAAATTGTACTACAGTGAAAGCTACATAAGCTGGAAAAAGATATGACTTGTTGAGATCTTATTTATTTATTCAGGATTTGTTATTTTTTGAAACTTCAATATCAGTCTTCAATAAAAAATTGTAACAGTTAAAATATTTCATTATATTCGGAAGAAAATAAGGAATATAAATAATAGCATGAAAATATAAATATGTCTGTATTTAAAAAAATAACTAAATCCATGTTGGTTGCTCAAAGACGAAACTTTGATTCCATATCCAAATAGGGGAGCAAAAATAACTTTAAGAGAGTATCTCTATTTCGTATAGATTTCGAAATAAATATAGGAAGCGAGAATTTCACATTTAATTAAAAAATATATAAAAAAGCTAACAAATATATTTTGTATGTATATACTCGTAGTGTTTTTCTTGGTTTTTAAAATTTCTTTGTGTTAACACACTATAATTTTTATAGTTCTTTGCTTTTTGTTTTTGTTTTGTTTAGTTATTTTATACCCTTTTAATTTTCTTTTTTAATAGCTGTAATCATAAATATATTATTAGTATTTCTAATACTGAGCGAGTACAAAAATGCAGTCAACGACAACAATTTTTATCAACACTTTATTAACATTAATATACCAACAATATAAATAAATAAATATAAATATATTATGTACAATAACATAGGACGGAAATTTTAATGAACTCGCACAAAAGTTGTTTCCATAAAATGCTCTTCATGTCCATAGTCGTTTTGGAAACTATGTTTACCTAATTTCATTGGAGCTTGTCGTTTCATATCTGAAACAAAATGACGTTGAGTTTATATGAAAAATTCCAGCCAATTCATAAAAATCTGTCTTGCCAGCTACAATAAATATCTCGTTACCGATTTGACTTGGGATAAGACAAGAATTTAATATTCTACCAAAACAAATGAATTTCTATTTTAAACAGGTCGATTTTATTAAAGATACATCGCACCGTTCCAAACTAAAAAGGACTTTTTACAAATAAGAAAAACAAACATTTTTTTTGCAAAACCCGTTTATTTTATTTAAAATAGTTATCTTCCGACTGAGTGTTTTACGGGGATGTCCTTCAGGATGTCGGTACAAACCTTTTGGATGGCTTCTACGTCCACAAAGTCCTTTCGTTTAAGCGGAAAACGCATTTTTCCGATAAAGTAAAAGTCGAACGGTGCTAAATCAGGCGAATATGGGGAGTAGTAGTAATTTTGTCAAAAAAGTGGTCAGGAGATCCATGAGATGGCGCGTTATCGTGCAACAAACGCCAACTTCCTTCTGCGCGACATTCTGACCGAATACGACGAATACGATACAACAAACGCTTCAAAACGCCAAGATAGATTGTGCAAGACCTCACCTGCGTATGAGGCTATTCTTTCCGCGCAAGCGCATTAGGAATAACACGGCTAATGTTAAATTTTTACTTTATTTAAATTTAGGAATATACTTTTGTATCGTTTTTTGTAAGTTTCAAGCACATTAGTGTATCTATTTTACGAAACACGTGTTGGTGTTCCAAATCCTTATAAAAATAAATTAATTTGAAGTTGTGTGGAACGTATTAACAATTGTATAATCTGCAGAGACATATTTCAGCGAACATAATGTATTAACAATTGTATAACCTACAGGGGCATATTTTACCGTACAGTCCTATTTATTTTAGACATACATACCCTGTATATTGATTAAAATATGGCATACAAGGTAATTAATCATTGTTACAATTTTTTAACAATTAGGCATTAAATACAATACTGATTTTGATGTTTGAACACGACCTTAAAAATTTAGCATTTACATGTACATACCTACTTCTATCTGATAGTTAAAAATGTGAGGATACTTTCTATAATTCTACTTTTGTAAATGCAATAACTTACCCAATTTGTATCGATGTTGTTGTTTCCTCACTAAAAACAAAGAAGTTCTTATTTTTATTTATTTTTCATATCAAGTTATTATGCGGTTATGTTTATAGATGTAATTATTTTCTTACCTAGTTGATAAAGTAGTTTGAATTTCTGAATTTGTTGTTACCTCTCTGAAAAAGAATAATTAATTATAGTCCAACCAAATTACAGAGAAAAAAAAATTGTTACCTGGACTTTTATAAGTGGAAATGGTACATGGCTTATAATAAACGTAAAAAAAATGCATGAGCAGGGGTGACGGAAGGTTGATTTGGGGGGTTGAAAAGTTGCGAAAAATTGTATCATTCGAATTTCTGGCGAAAGTTGACGTCAAACAAAAAAGTATTTAATACAAAAGTTATACATCATGCAAAAATCTACAACTTTTGTAGAAGTCACTTGTTAAGATAACCTCAAAATGCAAAAAACAGGGTTTTTTCTTATTTTTTTGTGTTTTATTACTCATTTTTGCAAAAATAATTTAATTTTGACTAAATCTGGTGAAAGTATACCTTTCTATGTCTTAAATAACCACAATTTTTTTAGACATCGTATAGAGTTCTGCTCGTGATAACTTTTTTCGTTTTGACGTATACTTTTTGTTGAAATAAAAACACCTATGTAATCACAGTTCAAAAATGCAAAAAAATAAAAATGCCTTGCAACTATTAATTTTTCAGTAATTGTTGATAATTTGTTTAAATTTAAAATAAAAATCAAAAACTGATTACACCATTCATTATACGGAAAAAATACAAAAAACTATCTCATTGTTTAACCCAAAACTTAATTTTTTGTAGGTACAGTATTGCTATAAACATCTAATTCGAATAGTGAATAAATAAAATAAATAATAATTTTTTTCCGTATTCCGATTAGTGTACTTACTTTTTAAAATTGATGAATTGATGAATTCATGAACTCTGTACGATAATTTTTCTAAGTAAAATTTTTCTTTGAAAAAAAGTGTTTCAGACGGGAAAAAATGAATATCTCGGAAACTTCTAGATTTTTTTATCTAAAAAAATTAGTGGTTATTTAAGACACAGAAAGGTACCTATACTTTCACCAAGTTTGGTCAAAATTAAATTATTTTTGCGGAAATGAGAAATAAAAAACGAAAAATAATAGAAAAAACCGTTTTTCGCATTTTTCTCGGAAATTTTAAGGTTGTCTTAAAAAGTGACTTCTACAAAAGTTGTAGATTTTTGCATGATCTACAACTTTTGTATTAGATACTCTTTTGTTTGGCGTCACCTTTCGCCAAAAATCCCAATTATATAATTTTTCACAACTTTTCAACCCCCCAAATCAACACTCTGCCACCCCGGCTCACGCTTTTTTTTGTATATTATAAGCCCTTTCACAATTTCCACTTATAAAAGTCCAGATAACAATTTTCTTTTTTTTACCTCTAAATGAGTAATTTATTACGATCAGTCTATTATTTAAGATAAAAAACGCAGACACTTGAGAAGTTGTAACACTTAAAAATGGGTTAATTAAATGCTAATTGAGAATATCAACAGTCAAAATAATATTGACTTTCTGTATTATGTTATTTGATTGGTAGTTTTTAGATCGAAATCTATTGACAATGTCTTCTTAGTTTTTATTTTTTTTTCAATATTTTCACTGCATATTTTGAACGCGTTACATCTAATAATTAAAATGCCAAATTGCTTACGTTTTTATCATCGTGACTTCCTCAACTGGACAACAGACTTTTGGAGACTTATCAGCATATCCACAAAGTGAATCTATAAGGTAATTCAGTCTTTCAATTGTCATTGGAGTGTCGAAGTCGGTAGACATTGAAGAAATCGATGGGCACTTCCGTAAGCAGATACAAAGACCCTCTTTGCCTTCCGGTGTATTACAGGATTCTAAAAAAAAACAAGCAATGCCAGTGGCAAAGATGTTATTTTTGTGGCAATACTTTGATGTGTCCAAAACTTTTTGAAGCATCATAGATACTTTGAAATGTTACAGTTTTTAACATAATAATTTAATAAAGAATTTGGCCAGAATTTACACCTGCATGACTTGTTGCTTACTTCAGTTGTGGCAAATTTCTTTGTTTCAGTAAATTTTCCAAAGAATTGTAGATAGTAGTATTGACTATGAATATACCTTCTAAATTGTCTAATTAAAACGTTTCAATAACGGCTTGACAACAATCTAATCGAATTTTAAACACTTTTTCTACACAGAGGCTATTATGTTTATATAAATATGATACAAAATGACCGAAACCAGTGAACAGTTTTCAAGTTTAGATCGGACATATGCATAAAGTAACTGGAATAACAGATTATCATAAAAGTAGTTTTATCACAAATCTTAATTTGTCTTCAGACTTGAAAAGACTAATTTCTGAATGTGATTTGAAAGTCAATTTACTGTTAAAATCCATAGATATATTTGAATTAATTGATTTAAATCACAACATTCGAGTACCCTATTTAACTGACCCTGAAGATGAACACAATCATCAACGCTGAAGAAAACATTTTCAAGGCGTTTATATGTATACAGGGTGTTATAAATTAGTAGGTCAAGCCGTTAACCACAAATTCTTTGGAATAAAATAATGGGACTTTTCTTATGCCATTTTTCATTTAGCTATCCATAAAAATAATTTTTAAAATATTGATTTTGACACCCTGTGTTTTGAAAACGGAGTTGCAAAATAAAAAATGACTTGAACGATTTGTATTTGTAACATCCTGTATATTAATTTGTGGCAACTGAGAAAGGTAGTAATGTCGTTAATAAAAATCGAAATGAGAAGAGGGATCAGATTAGAACCTTGGAGTATTCCAGAGGTAATAAGGTAACTTCTAGATTTAAATCCAATGTAAATGATGTCATACAGGCGACTCGACAAATATGACTTAAAGAATATTAGAAATTGATCGAGTGAAATAAAAGAAGAATTAATTAAGAAAAATAAAAGGAAATTGAAAGCTTGCAAGTTAATTGCGAATGCGAGAATGGGGTTAATTCAACTGCCTTTGCAGTTCATTTAATTGTAGACATAGTAGAGAAATTAGCCAAGAATGATATTTTTCTTTATAAAATACATATTCTCTTAAAATATTTCCTTAATTTCTGTAAATAATTATAGCAATAAATCTAAATTACTTTCATTTACGATTAACAAAGGGAAAATAAAACAAACGCAAACGAAAAAAAAAACTAAAAACTAACAAAAATTTGAAATTCACTTCGGATTATATCAAATATACTCATCTTAGTTTACATCCCATCGGACTGTACTTATTTACATACGTCGGTTTGCAATAGATTTAAACGGTACAATTATTAAATAAAATTATATGGATATTTTCTAAACAAAAGTTGCGAATTAAAATCGTACCTTTTACAACTGCAGCTTGACATAACAATGTTGAAGTTACCAAAACAATAACAATCTTAATCATGGTTGCTGGTTATCACAAACAATTAACAATTAACACAGATATTCTTGCAGCACTGAGTGGTATTGGCGGCGGTCACCTTGACTTAACTGCAACCGTTCATCTCCAACTGCTTTATAAGTAACTGTATCCCGTAGAATACACAATAAATAACAGTTGACCGCTGGAAGTTTAATTAAAAATCGGGTTTTTAGGGCGCAGAGATGGTAAAAGCAAATACGTCAAATTGAGAGAATAATGAAGTGCGAAAAAATAACCGGGATATTATGGAAAGGTTATTCGTAAATATAAATGCGGGGGGTACACATATGTATGTTAATTAAAAGCGGTAAAAAATCTGTCGAGAGCTAAATAATTAGGAAAATAGATGTAAAAGAGTGCAAATGAATAACGGTCAAGCCATTTAGTGGAAGACATGCAGTAATGAATCAAACGGAGGTTTAGAGTTTAGATGTTATCAAATTTGTTACATGTTGTCGTCCATGTTATTCGGTCTTGGATAATCAAGAAACGTTTTTTACACATTTTCACAAATTAATTCGAAAATCATAATAAAAAAATTTACAAATATTATTTTCGTTCTTTTGTCAAGACAGACATTATTTTTTTATGAACCTGAAGTAAAAGTCATGTCAGTATTATCCATTGCAGTGATGACTTGTCATTGATCCATAGAGATGATAAGATATACCTATAACATCAGCTGTTTAAGAGAGCTTATCCTAATATGACTGCATTATTAGTTAGGCCAGGAAATATAGAGTTGGATGCGACTTTTTGTTTCGGCAAGCTGAATTTATCACTATAGATGCTAAATATTATGTAAAAATGGGGTGAAGATTGTTTACAGGGTTGATTAGATCTAAAGTTATAAACAGAAGAAGTTTATTTATGACTTTTGAATGAAACATTTATAAACTGCGTTATTATTATCAGAACATTTTGGCATCGCATCCTCTCATTACTTATGGGCCCCATATTCTTTAAATAGTGTTTTCCGCAAAGACAAATAATTTCAAACATTTAATAACTGAATAATCTAAAGCTTATCAAATAATAGGAATGTTATGTCATGCCATCTGGGTATTTTCAAAGACGCCGCAGTAAAACGAATAAATAGGTGCAAAAAACGATCAAACCATCAAGGTTTTAGGTACTGAAATCTACGAAAATACTAACTTTTTTATATATAATTCCACATATAAATATTCTTATAACATTTACTTGCTTAGTCCTACATATAAAATTGTTTACTTTTATTTATAAGTACGTGAAAATAATTCTTAAAATGTGGGGTTAGAATAACAGCAAACGCATGTTTTACAAACCCTTTTTTTTTAGTTATTATTTTATTTGAGTAAATTTAAATGGTAACAATGAATAAACAAAACGTCAAGGATTTCATTTTTGTGCTTACTTTTGTTCTACACGTTTTACTTTTAAAGATTTCAGTACCTAAAAACGCCAGAAATTTCACTATTTCTCGGCCGGGAATATGGCCACCTTATCACTGTCTAATAACTTACAAGAAATCTGGAATCGGTAAGTAGAATAGCTTACAAGTTATGACCTTATAAACGAATTAACTAATTTATTAGTCTGGACGATCCCGAGGATCTTCCACAATGGCATTAATATTTTTCATGGTAGATTTCATAATAATACATTGAAATCTATCATTTTTTTTTTAATTTGAAATTTGCAACCTGGAAATTTTTTAGCCTTAGTTGCAAAATGAAATATACGGCGCACGAGCGTGATATGGTTATATATTATTACATATTCGGAAAGCTTACGAAAAGAGCTTTAAGTTAAAAAAATCGTCAAGATTCGTTGAAAAACAACGGAATTACAGACTGTGCAATTAAGACTAAAAAATAAAAAAAAATCCAGGTTGCAGATTTGAAATTAAAAAAAATGATAGATTTCAATGTAACGAGCGTTCAAATAAAAACGTGGTCAAGTTGGTTCTGAAAATTTGGACGTAGGGCGTAGCGTATAGCAAATGAACTTAAACGTCATCTGTCAAAGCGCTATATCGCCGCTATCAATTTGAATATTTTCGTTTTAAAAAGCGTTTAAAATGGTGTTTTCTCAAGAACAAAAAGTGTTTATCATAGAGTCCTACTTTAGAAATGGACGCAAGATTGATGGAATATGGAAGTATTCTATTGAGGAATGTTTCATAGAATTTCAAAATCAATTTCCCGGCGTTGTTGAGTACAAAATTTTTCAAAGTGCAGTTCAGCGTTGTGTTAATGTTTTTCGTGAAACGGGCAGTGTAACAAGAAAAGAAGGAAGCGGCCGACCTAAAAAGCGGACTGAAGAATTAAAAGAAAATGTCCAACAAATAATGGAAAATGCGCCAAGAACTTCTGTACGTGTTTTATCACA